GATGCTGCTTGGCCTGCTGTGTTCATCCAGCCCTGCACCTTGTTGTCACCATTCCATCATATCCTTAGCTCATTGTTTGGGCATCAGGAGTGAGTACGGTCAGTGACAGGTTGTGAGCTACAAAGCCTAATATTTAACAAAACAACTGGGTCCGAGTACGAGAGAACTTTTTAACTAGACCACACCAGCACTCAACAACTCAACAGTTGTTTTGTTAAAGATTAGGCTCTCCAGCCCACAACCCGTCACTGACTGTCTTCACTCCCGATGCCCAAACAATGCAAGCTCACTGCTAACTCATTTCCTTTAAGTATGATGGGTCCAGTGTGTACAACTCTCGTGCCTCCCTCAGACCCTGAACTAACTTAAACGTGTCACACAAATCATGTCTTTAAGACACTTTTTCCCCAAGATTGGGGTGCACTCAGCCTTGAAATTACAGAACTCCCTTTACCCACATTTAATGTGAAAATTGTGCCCTTAATGTTTATCCAACATCAACACGACTGTCCTGATGACTGTTTATAGATTTGAATATCTTCTGCCTTCTTCCCAGTTAAATTGCCTGGTCCCCCGTTTAACTGTTAACAACCAAAATTGTTGTCAGGCTGAATTCAGATCAAACCACGTTACATCCCTTATTCGCCCATTTTATCCTAACTTAAAGGGACAGTCCCAAATCATTACAAACTCATAATTATGCATTTTTATCTCTTTTTAAAGATAGTCTCTTCTTTTTCTGTGTGCAGGTTCGGGCCTCCTGTTTATAACTTATCCTGAGGCCATTGCTAACATGGATGGCTCCCCCTTCTGGGCAATCCTCTTTTTTCTCATGGTGATAACTCTAGGCCTGGATAGTACAGTAAGTATAAATTGTTAGGAGAATCGATTTTAAAAGAATCACCTACAGCTTGAGGGTTTCCATTGGAAGAAATTAGATTCCAATTGAATACATAGTATTTCAGATGGAGTATGTTATGGAATCTGTGCTTATTACATCAAAGATTAACCATAAAAAATATCTTCATTAACAAATGTAGTCTTGTCACTTATTGTGGCATTTGACTCTAACAGATCAAGTAAAGTGCTTGCTTTCGAGATTACCTTGCTGGAAAATGTATAAAACGAGCACAGCATCCATTTTTAATGTAAGTTTATAGGGATAACATCTTCAACGGCACCAGAAAGTTTCTAACAGCTGCTAGTACCTAATACCAACAGCATTGACTGTGGCATTTTCCCAGTCCCTTGTCCAGTACATGTGTAGAAGTCAGATTTGGGCACAATCAGGCTCAGCCATTGTGTGGTCTATCATCAAATAGTCTGTTGACTCACCAGGCATGGAAGAACAACCACCTGGGAGAGGGCCTGGAGTGTAGCCAATGTACAGGAAACAGCAAGCAATCAATGTCCAGTCAACTGGAGGTTAAGGGAGAAGAGGATCTAGCCAGTCCGTACAAGCAATTCTTGTGGCTTTTATAAAATCTTCATGTCAGGCAACACTGACAGGACAGTCATTATTGTCCTATAATTATTATCCTGACGATATTAAGAATAATTATGTACTGATGGACTGGAGCCCTATGTAGGCCAGGCTAAGTAAAGATAGCATGTCTTTTCCTTGAAAAGGGTTTGGGAATGGTTGGCATTTTACAAGAACATAGAACATTACAGCGCAGTACAGGCCCTTTGGCCCTCGATGTTGCGCCGACCTGTGAAACCAATCTGAAGCCCATCTAACCTAAACTATTCCATTATCATCCATATGTTTATCCAATGACCATTTAAATGCCCTTAAAGTGGGCGAGTCCTCTATTTTTGCAGGCAGGGCATTCCACGCCCTTACTACTCTCTGAGTAATAATCCAGCAAAAGTCATGGTCATTTTTCTGATGTCAGTCAAGTTCATCATTTCTATGTTGCCAGTCTTATAACAATAAAGCAACCTTATCTGACCCATGAATATTCAGTTGTTATTTGTGAGATGGCAATTAAAAATAGTATTATTTAGCGCATACAAGATATACCAGTGTTCGTTTTGAATAGAAGACTGTTTTGTGTCCATTTTTTGAAGATCATGTATTGGCCTCTGCAAGCCATGCCCAAGTGATTCCTGGCCACAGGAGACTATTCAGTAGATGTTCTCTCGATGAAGATCTCTACCTGAAGTAGAGACTCACTCAGTAAGGAAGAAGCTGTAAAAAAAGAACAGATAATCTATCAAGCTTGTCCAATTCCTGGTGTGAAGTAATTTCTGCAAATCATCACATTTCCTGACCAATGACACACACCGCCTCCCCAAACCCTGCCCTCATCACTTCCTTTGTGGTTGGACAATCTCATTTGAGAGACAACAGAAAAATAATATAATTCCTAGGTCAATTCAGGGAACAAAAGCTTGGAAACCTTCCAAACCCCTAAGGCAACCAAGCAAATTCCAGAACAGAACAGTTATTGCACAATAGCTCCTGTATGTTAATAACTCTCTAAAATTCAATCAACTCCTTTTTTGAATGCCTACCAACATCTCATTACAGAGATCAACAATTCTTTACAAACAGCGCCTTTTAGCATCTAATCTAGACCTGAGCTTTAACAAATTATACCATGATCTCTGTTTCTCTCCGAACTACCTAGTTTGAAAAGCCTAGTCATTTAAATAACACCTACTCTTTATATTATTTTTCATATACTCAATAAAATTGCAAATTATAAGATTTTCTAAAGAGTGCATCACACATGATGAGCTACTTCAGTTACATTATGTCCTGAATTTGAATATGGAGCTTTGCATATAATGTCTGAGCAGGTTTTGAGTGGTGATTGATTGGGAACTGCATTTTGGGGCAATCATCACATTGGACAGTGAGTAGGTCTCAAGCCTAAAGACCAATGTAACCAAAGCACTACACTGTCCAGTCACCCTAGATTTTAGTATCATCACTTTACATTTTCCAAACACATACAAGCATTTACATTCAGGGGGAAAACAAGGAGACATTCCAATTTTGTTAATTCTGTTGTTTATCCACTTTCATGTTCCTGTCCTTTTGGAAATAATATTCCTGTAAAGTAGGGAAAGCTTCCAGATACCTGAAGGTTGCTGAGTATATTGCTTTGTTGCTGTGTCCCTCTTCTATGTGGAAAGGGATTAATGTATGTTTGTTTTTTTGGGGGGGAGTAGAGACTAAGTGATTCATTGCGGTTTTCTTGTCAACAGTATGGAGGCCTGGAGTCTATCATTACAGCTGTGATAGACGAATATCCTCATCTGTTTGCTAAAAGGAGGGAACTGTTTGTGCTGGGATTGGTTGTTGTGTGTTTTATGGGCTCTCTCAGCACTCTTACAAATGTAAGTACAATTGTCAATGGAAATTTCATGTTGTTTGATTTTTGGTTGTCTAAAAATAAAATTTTTAAAAATCACCCAATGTTAGCTGTTGAATTAAAAACAAGCTTACCTGCTATATGAAGAGAGAGTGCATGAATGAGTTTGCAGTGATGGTAATGGAGTTAGTGAGAATGGGGATGGTGACACAACAACAACAAACTTGAAAAGGCAGTTGCTATAATGCCTTACCAATTTCTTGTGATATCCCAAAGCCCTTCCAGTTCCTTTTCAAGTGTAGTTACTGTTATTTATGCAAATCAAGTGTGGCCATCAAGGTTTTGTAGACAGCAATGTGATAAACAGCAGTTAATTTGTTCATGTTGTTCTGTTTATGCTCATCTGCTGGCAGGGGAGCCTGGAAAACCTCCTCAGATGGCCTTATCACCAGTTTCCTGCTGGTCCCAGCTTCTCCACAATTTTGTATTGTTTCAGGCAAGGCCTAGCTTAGCCAACCAGCGCTGCCCTCGTCCCAGCTGAGGGCCTTAAGTGGCCAATTACAGGCCAGAAGTAGTTTTAATCTCCAGGTTGCAGAGAAGGGTTCAGGGGTGTGAAAAGTTCTGAGAGTGACTCTGTTCAGAACTCGGGCTGGAGGTGGAAGGAGGGTGTAGGGGCACCTCCATCAACCGTTTCCTTTCAAGATTGGGCTACTCTCTTCACAACCCGACAAAGTCTGACCCTTGTGTCTGTTTCAACCCCAGTCTCTTCACCAGCACCCTCGACAACTTTCTGTGTTAAACCCCCTCCCAATCCCCTACCAGAGACTAGGCAGATGACTAGTTCCTCAGCATCTAACTATGTGCAGTTTATTGACTGTATAAAAAGTACTATATATGAATACTTCTCAATGTTTCTGTCTCTGATGATTTTTCTCACAACCCTCTGTTTAGTTTCATCCTGAGATAGTGTGAATAAAACTATGAACTCACTTTGCCAGGAACTGCAGAAACAATTATGGAATTACGGTGGGAGAATGTAAATTAAGTAAGCAGCTGGAAGAAGCTTTGATATTTTCTTGATGGATATATATTTGTACATTATTTTGTGGCACCCAGAGTAGGCTAGCAGTAATAGGTTAATCTGATAGAATGAACTTAGATGCAAAGTAAAGAAATTGAACTCAAGATATCCTGAATGTAAATCCTTTCCAGCTATTACAACTGGTTAATTAAATGGTCCAACCTATTACATTATCTAATATTATGGTATCTTAATGTATATTGGTCTTTATTGTAATGGGATTAAAGTACAAGAATAAGGAAGTCTTTCGAGCTTTTATGAGACCATTCCTGGTTAACTGTTCACCTAATGGAAAATATACATCCATTGTCAGTGGTACCATGAAGGTTTACTAGATTAATTCCTGGGATCAGATGGCTGTACAATGGTGAGAGGCTGAGTGAATTTCTCTTTGGAGTTTAGAAGAATGAAACATGATCTAATTGAAAGATACAAGGTTCTGAAGGTGTTTGACAGGGTAGGCAGTGAGAGGTTGTTTCTCAAGGCTGGGAAATCTAGATTGAAGGGGCACAGATTCAGGATAAGGGGTTAATCAATTAAGACTCAGATGTGGAGAAATGTCTTCACAGATGGTTGCAAATCGTTGGAAGTGTTACCTCAGAAGGTTGTGAATACTTCATTGTTGAGAATATTTAAGGCTGAGATAGACAGGTTTTATGGTGTCTGAAAGGATCAAGGGATATGAGATCAAAGGATATGGTGATGAAGTGAAATTAAGGATAGTATGGTGTATTCGTGTTTTTATTTCTTATGTTCTTAATAAGCCTTTTCACTTAATTCTTCTAAGCTCCTGATACAGCACTGTCTATTTCTGTTCCTCTTTACTGCATCTCCCCTGGACATGCAACTGAGATTTTCTGCAATCCTATAATTCATCTCTTACTGTGACTCATCTCCAAAACCTTAAGTCTGTGAAATTGGATAAACCCTCGAAGGAAACTGGACATATATTTGAAGGAAAATAAAATCAGTGCTATAGGAAAAGCTGGTTAAGACCGGCATGAGCTCAATCAGCCAAATGACTCTTTCTTTGCAGTATTATTCTATAATTCTTCTATGTGAAATACACACTGTGCACGCTGTTCAATATTTGCTGGGGACCAGACAAAAGGAAGCCCATTGATAAGTTTCCGTGTTTCTCTTGAGGATGTGAAGGAGCTCCTGCAGCCACCTCAAAACCTGGCTCCACTACCCCAGGGGCCACTGTTTTATTGGTCTACTCTGTGCTGTGGAGGCCCAGTCCTGACAATGGATCAACTCCAGCCAGGACTGCTGGGCAGCTTGTGGTCACCTTGTGCTATTTACCCTGTAATATAAATATGCTCTCAGGTCAGGTACAGCACTAACTAAGTGCAAAGCAAAGTTACTACCACCCTCCATGATAAAGTTCATTAACTCCAACTCTGTAACAATGTGACATTTTTAGTTTCCCAGGCCACTTGTTCTTATAGGCTTTTTGAGGGCAGAATTATGCACAATTATAATTGTGACAATTATGAACTGAGTTGGCACAGATTGAAACTTTTCTACACAGAGCTTTTAAAACCAGTATAAAGTGAACCTTTGTTTCATTAGTTTATGCCAAAATTACCATAAGACCATAGGATATAACAGCAGAAGTAGCCATTTGGCCCATTGAGTCCGCTCCACCTTTCCATGAGATCGTAGCTGATCTGGTAATGTTCCTACCTTTTCCTCCTAGCCCTTGATTCCGTTAATGATTAGAAATCTCTTTACCTCAGCCTTGATTCTACTTAATGACCCAGACTGAACCACTCACTGTGGGAAAGAATTCCGCAGATTCATTCGCCTCTGAGAAAAAAAAATCTTTCTCCACCTCTGTCTTAAATCGGCAGCCTCTTACTCTGAGATTATGTGCGTCGGTCCTAGGCTCACTCACAAGGAGAAACAACATCTCTGAATCTACTCTGCCAAGCCCTAGAAGAATCTTGCATATTTCGATAAGGTCTCCTTTCGTTCTTTGAAACTCCATGGCCAAAGTTTTATCTGATAAGCTCCCATGTATTAATGAATTCTATTTCCTGCTACTGTATTACATTTTTGTAATGTTAGCTCCAGCCTGATTTGAAACACAATTGAATTTTTCAGGGAGGGGCATACGTTGTCAAACTGATGGAAGACTTTGGATCAGGTTCCTGTCTTATTGCTGTAGTATTATTAGAATCCATTGCGGTGTCTTGGTTTTATGGTAAGAAACCCACCATCCTCTGCTTGGATAATTAAAAATAGGAAATCTAGCAAAAGAATGGTCATTACAAATTGGCTTTTAGCCCTCATCAGAATATTTGGGGTTAGCAATGGGACAGCTAAATTACAGCACTCACATAAGTCTTATAATAGGGAGGACAACAGCAGGGAGAGCTGTAATGTGGAGTGGGAAGGAATACTCTGGTCAACAACTAAAATGTTAAAAATATACTCACCTTCATTGGCAGCAGTTACACAGGTGCCTAGAAAATCTGAACAATTGAGGACAGTGTTTTTTGGCACGTTGACGCTTCGACAGATGTTAACACCTCTAATTGACACGGACATTTGACTTAACAGACCTGTTTTAGGTGGACACAGGTATGGCCAAAGAATGGAGCTGCTGTATTTTTCATTGAGCCAAACACCTGCACAGATTATGTGAAGGTCATTTAATTAGTAAATCTGTTTGTGCTGAGCCTGTTTCGCATCCAAACAATGGCTGCAACCCCAATGTTTAAGTGCCTCTGAACGAAAAAAGAGCTGAAATCCAAAAAGCAAGAGGGAGCATATAACCATTTTACAAGAAAGACAAACACACAACTTAGGAGCAGAAATAAGCCAGTCAGCCTCTCAAGCCTGCTCTGTCACTCAATATCATGGCTGATTTGATTAATTCACATTCCCAGCTACCCCAGATAACCTTTCGCCCCCTTTCACACACCTCTGCCTTCAAACCATTCAAGGACTCTGCTTCCACGACATCTTCAGAAAGAGAGTTCAAAAGATTCACAACGCTCTTGCGAGAAGAAATTTCTCCCTACCTCTATCTTAAATGGATGACCCCTTATTTTTAAATAATGAGCCTGTGTTCTAGACACGCGACAAGAGAAAACATCCTTCTGACATTTAGCCTGTCAAGACCTCTCAGGATCTTATATGTTTCAACATGTAACTCTTCTTATTTCCAGAGGGTAAAAGCCCAGTCTGTCCAAACTTCCTTTATAAGACAACCTGCCCCTACCAGCTATTAGTCTAGTATACCTTCAGCTTCCAACGCATTCCTTCCTTAAATAGGGAGACCATACTGTACACAATACTCTAGATGTGGTCTCACAAATGGCCTGTGTAACTGAAGCATAACTCCATACTTATGTATTCAATCCCCCTTCAATAAGTGATAACATTATATTTGCTTTCCAAAATATTTGTTGGATCTGCTTACTAACCTCTGCAATTTACACACTGGGACACCTAGATCTCACTTCATTTCAGAGCTCTGCAATCTCACACTATTTGAATGATATGCTTTATTATTCATCCTGCCAATATTGGAAAGTTAACATTCTCCCACATTATATTCCACTCGCCAGATCTTTGCCCATTCACTTAACCTATCTATATCCTCTGCACTCTAAAGTCAAGGAACCTAATTCTAAATCAGGACGTGTATAATAAAATGAAGCATTAAATTAAATGTAAGTAGTTTATTTTAAGAAAGCACTTGCTGGAAACGCAGATGGGTGTCCATTGCTGAAATAGGATTGCATTCAACCATAGTGCCTTTCACAGCTCAGTAGCCTATCAATATTCTTTACTTGGTTCATATATGAAGAATAGCCACTCCAGTAAGGTGTCCATTTCTGAAGAAGGGTCTAGGCCCGAAATGTCAGCCTTCCTGCTCCTCTGATGCTGCTTGGCCTGCTGTGTTCATCCAGCTCTACACCTTGTTATCTCAGGTGTCCAGTAATACTGGTATCTGATTTCCTTCTAGTCTCAATGCAGTGGAAGACTGTGAGTTCTATTTAAAGGGTTATTGGATTCTAAATTCTAGTGGGGCAGAAATCCAGGTGTAGCTAAGTAGAAAAGCTTTTATATAAAATGATTTGGCATGCTTTCACAAATAACATATAACATATACATTAGAAGATGAACACAAACCCCTGCTGAGATACATGCATATAACATATTTATAACATTAAAGCATATATATTGGGCATAATATTTATAGCCTTAAAGTATATACAGGGCATAAACATTGTTTACATATACACCAATAAATATTATTGAACAAAGAGTGTTTCAAGATTATACTGTCAGTATTTTGACCAGCTCTGAAATTGTCCCATTTTCTGTCCTTGATTTATGTGCAGGTGTCCAGCGATTCTGCAGTGATATCCAGACAATGTTGGGTCTCTCACCAGGACTGTTTTGGAGGGTTTGTTGGGTGGGGATCAGTCCTGCCTTCCTAGCTGTGAGTAACAAGCCTTAAGCAATTTGTTGGTTTGTATATCACAAGGAGGTATCCTTGTTTCCCTGACCATTCCTCCTGTAGTGTTTCTGATATTGTATTGATCACCCTAGGTTAGACTGCATCCACATCATTAACAGCTTCACAAATTCAATGCAAAAGATAGATCTTGAATTTCTGGACTGTTGTAAGTGATCCAGAGTCATGTGGGGGCAACTAGAATTTGCTGCAGGCTTTGGTTCTGCCCTTCCCCCAAAATGAAAGATTCTGATGGAGATGTGTGCACTTCTTGAATTTCTCCTTATACTGTTGTCAGGAGTAGGAATTCCAACTTCTTGAGTACCAACACAGAGTGGACTTGTATCTTGCAGTCACACATGTACATATCCCTGGCAGACCTGGATTCTACAATTAATTGATTTATGGATTGAAAAATGATTACAACATGCAAAGTGCCACTCAGAAAGCTCTGGTCCCCAATGAAGCAGAATCCCAGGGCCATTTTAAATGGCACAGGTCCTCACATTATAAAGTAAAAACACATCTCTGGAAATGGTACCAGCGCAAGGCTGTGTTTCTGATGAAAAAGGCATCTATTCATCGATCCAGAATGATTCAGAGTGCACCTAACCCCAACATCTATTCGCATCTGCACAGTTGGATTATGGCAGTCTCCCTGATCGTAGTGAGTTACCTAATGGCCATTTATGTCTCCCATCATCTTGGATGTCAGAGTTGTACCGCTGGAATATTCTGCATAGCTAAACTACAATTCCAAACTTATTTGCAGATAAATGAATATACTGAAGTGAAGATATATAGACAACATACAAAACTCAATACCTTTTCAAGAAAATTGTGCTTATGGTAGTGTAGTGGTAATGTTATTTAGAAGTTAAGACAAACATTACAGAGAACATAATTCAACACCTACCCTGGCGCTTTTAGAATTGGAATTACATTTTTTTTAAACCCAATATCGGTTAAGGTCACCGTGGTACTGTGGATTGTTTAACTGCTTCATAAATGGGCAAGGAAGTGTAGCTTTCTTTCCTGGTTTGGCATGTATATGATTCCAATCCCATTCCAGCATGGTTGATTATTAACTACCCATTTAATTGCCAAGCATCTGCTCAGTTTCATCAAATTGTTCAAGAAGAAATCCCATTACATCCTATATAGGGACAATAGCAAATACAAATAAATACTGTCCTTGCCAAGCCTGTTGTGTTATGTCTCCCAGTCAGTATGTCAGTGGACCTTTAACAGACTTGCTCATTATAGCATCAAAGTATCATAGCATGTGACCTGAGGGTCTAAAGGTCTTGTATTCCATCTTACCCAGGGTTCACTTGAAACATGACACTCGACTGGAAACGTGCTCCTCTGTTGCAAGCTAATTGCTTAATAATAGTGCAGATAATTATGTGCCTGAGGGATGTAACATTTGTACATTATAGTTATTCTTAATAAATAACTGTTGGATACTTCAATACCATGATTTCCACACACATTTTCTTATGTTACAGGAGATAACATAAGCATTTCTGTATCAATTAAAACACCCTGTTGGAGGCAAACACACATCCTAAGAACAAATATTCTAAAAGATTGGAATAAATCTGCCTGTAAAGTACGTAAGACAACACTTTTCACTGTACATCAGTACATGTGACAATAATATATCAAACCAAATCCACAAGACGTTAATGCATTCATTTCATAAAGCCACTGCTTTAATTTGTGGGCATATAATAATACCATTGATCAGTTAGCACTGAACCTTCTCATTCATTGGTGAATGGGCTGTAGTTCAAGTGCATCTTTCAAAATAAGAGGTAGAATATGAGTTACAAGGATTGAGGGGGTCTGAATTGTCTCTTCCAGAATTGCTGACTAATGGACTCTTTGCCCATAGCCTTTTCGCCTTTGAACACAGAAATGTCGATCAATAACAATTAATGAAACACTGCCAGAAAAACAATTACATGAAATGCTAATGAGAAATGAAACACATATATCTGAGTCTTGAGAACAATTCATTCACACCCTTATCTTAATTCATTTTTGGTCAATGTGTTTTTTTCCTTTCTTGTAGTCTTAGCAAAAGACTAATTTTGAATCCAGTAAAGCAGTAGCCTGGATGTTACATCCTTGCTATTAAAACTATGTAAAATTAGATAGAAACTCATATGTCAGATATCATTGCAGCTTTTTTTTAACCTTTACGTAACTGACTCACAAGCCCAATCTGTGTGAGTGCCAGATAATCGGTCCTAAATGTATCTTATACCTTTGACTTTCGATGTTAAATTTGAAGCTGTGTTCAGCATTTTGTTTTTCACCACCAACTTATACATTTCGATGAGATTCCACTTCAGTTTCTTCCTTTCACAGATGAAAATCCTACATTTTCTCAGTCTTTCTTCATAATTCAGTCTTTTGGCACTAGTGATTAATGTTGTAGCTTCTCCTGCATTACATTAATGGTTTGAATAGCTGTCTTGTGTCTCAACGACCAGACAGTGGTAAAGCTTTCTCCAATATTCAAATTAAAAAATAATGGGAAGTATAGTATTGTGTTGTGTGAGTAATGGAGAAAAAGATGGGAAAATATGGTAAGAAGGGAAAAATCAGATTCTTGCATTGAGAAAAAAAAATTCCAGATTTTCAACTGAAGGTAAATAGCAATTTCAGAATCCCACCATTGAATGGTGACTACCTTATTTCCACGCATTTGCAACTCACTGAAGCCCTAACTTGCCTTATGGCTACTTCCAATTCTCCTCTCTGTCACCAAGAAACAAGACAGCACAAATCCCCAAAGTAAATCAAAGAGAATACCTTGTGGCTGCCACTTGCTGAATTCCTTTCCTGGCCATCATGCTTCTTCACAACAACAGCCCTGCATACTCCATGGCCATCATTCACCTTAACCCTTCATTCATGCTGGTCAATCTCAGAAAGCTTCACCCACTTCATACCTGCTCTCAGACCAACTGAGTCACTTATTCAGCCCTTAAAACAATTTGCTTTGGAGCTCAGGGATACTTGTAACTTGCATGGATCTGTCAGATTGTTTTGTGCTCACGGATGCACAACCATCTCATGCATCGGTACAGGATATACCTTATGGCTCATAGCTTGTTTTCCTATTGCTCCCTCAGTTTGCGCTTACTTGGGAGCTGCCAACTTCTATATACTTCACATTGCTTTCTCAGTGCACACGCAAGGACTCAGCAATGACAAATGGGCTGCGGCTCTGTGGCTGGAATTGTTTTGCAATGCAGAGGGAGAAGCAGACAGCTTGTGATGATTGACAGCATTGAACAGTCAAGTGTGTACGTGTCACTATGCTACATCAATGTCATACCTGCAGCACATGCCAGCAGTTTATGTGGCAAATACATTGCATGTGCTCTAAGTGGCCATGTATGTTTTTAGGGTTAGGGTGAAGGGGGACTACAGCCAGTCAAAGGGTAACGCCATGGTCATTCAAAGAGCTCATCCTGTTCCAGTTCAGAGGAATTACCAAAGTCAATCAGGCACTTGGTCTTACCAGACAAGGGAAGCAACTCAGTATGATGGATGTGGATTGAAGAGCAGTTTGTAGTGGTGTATGAGAAGGATAACTGGTGAGGCATTCCCAGTCAGTGAATAGGAATTGCAGAGGGCAGGAAGGGTAATAGTTTGAGAGGATAAGGTGACTGAAAGTCACTGAGTAAGCAGGATGAATGCAATACTGAAAGCAAAGTTAGAGTGAGTGATGGCCCTGTGAGTGTGAGGTAGTAGAGCGAAGATTGAGGCACTTACCCTTACCCAGCTCAGAAGATCATTAACCCTCTTCATTCTGCACTGCTGGGAATCCTCCTTTATCCAGGACACACTACTGGGCTGCAATTTGTGCCCAGACTGTTTTAGTCTGGTGACATGGACTCCTGTGCTGCTTAGCTGGAAACAAACAAACCGCTGTGCTCAACCTTCCCACACACCACCCCACCCGTTAACATCTCCAAGTCCCTGTCTGCCAAGTGGGAAGTGAGCTTTCAGTGTCTCTAGGCCCTGTCATTGTGTTGAGGCTGAAACACCATAGCGTGTGTCGTCGTTCCGGGCTTGCAGTCGTTATAATGGTCTGCAGTTTGATTTTAAATATGGTACCTAAAGCGTGAAAGCAGGAAGATCCACTTGCTGTGGTGCGCACATCCATCTTTCTGGCTGAATGATTCCTTGAGGAAAGCTCGGGTAAAAATGAATGAAAAGTGAATGAGGATTGCGTAAGAAAAGTCTGAGCCACGGCGCACTAGGTGTTATGAATCTCATTCAACAAAACACTTAACTGCAAATGGGAAATTTCTGCCCAGTTTCTTCATAAAACATTATCAGCTGGAAATCTTTGTTGTAAAGTATTAAATTAATACTTTCCTTACTTTAAATGAATCATAGCACCTTCCTTAAAAAGATTAAAATAACAGACAAAATAATTTGTTGGGAATGTAAATATTTGTATAGTAATATTGCACAATGCAACTTTCAACGTAATACAGACTGAAGTTTGAATCCATATTTTAAAAAGTTGCTTACGGAAGTATGATTGTTTTCAAAAGAGTTCAATGCAATGGCGGCCCCTGCAGGCAGCCTGAGGTTGCTGCGTACATGGTAGCTAACACGTGAAAAGTGTGACAACAAGCTGCAAAGCTGGATGAACACAGCAGGCCAAGCAGCATCATAGGAGCGGAAAGGCTGATGCTGCTTGGCCTGCTGTGTTCATCCAGCTCTGCACCTTGTTGTCTCGGATTTTCCAGCATCTGCAGTTCCTACTATCATGTGAAAAGGTGTACAGTGATTGAAGAAGCAGTTTTAGAAGGCAAGTTCCTAGTAGTTTCAGTTTCTTCACATAGCTGGATTATTTACTAAACATTTAAACTATTCTTCTGTTTTCTACTAAATCCTCTCAATTAATTTACCGGTAATTCAGAAACGTTATGCCGCTCACAATCACAGCACAAAAAATAATGGAATGAAATCAGTAAAACAGTCAGGTTTCATCCTGCAGGTAATTGAAGGGGAAGTGAGACAGCACAGGATAATTTTAAAAAATTCTTTCTTTGGATATGGGCATTGCCAACATATATTGTGAATCACTAATTCTTCTTGGGAAGGTGGTGGTAATCCTTGTTCATAAAGTGCTGCACAGTCCCTGTGTTGAACTTACTGCAGCTGCGTTATTAGGCAGGAGGCTCTGGAATGGGATAAGACCCTGAGATTCTGAAACAGGGCTTCCAAAATTGCAGGACACTATCCCAAGAGAAGTTTAGAGTTATGAAATCTGAGGCAACAATTGCTGATGTGGAGCTTCAACCAAGTGCTGCAGTTTTGTGGCCCCTTTAAATCACTGCAGTAACTTTTAACTGTGAGAATGACCTACCTTGCTGATCTTTGAGACCTGATTGCTGTCTTGCAAAATGTCACAGAGAAGTATGTGCTTTTAACTTTAAAACATTGTGGATTAAAAAACTTTGCCCGTTCTCACAGATTTCTCATTCCCTCTCGCAGCCCTCCCTCAAATTTCCAGCACCAGAATGGAATCATATTGTCTAGGTAGTCCGCATAGTCCCAATTCAGGACACATAATAGTTTCTTAATTGAATGTAATGTCCATTCCTTCAATATGAAAATCCACCCTGTCCTCAGTGGACCAGTTATCTTGTGATCAATGTAAGACTGTAATTGTTGCAAAAAATGTCGAGAAAGAGAATGGCCTTAAAATACATTAAAGGACAAAACTGGAAAATCCTGAGCATCCACCTTCACGTAAGGAAAAAAAATGGCATTCTTTGCATAATTAAGGTCTAAGAATTCCATTTTCTATTTTCTTTGCAGTTTATTACAGTGAGCTCACTTGTCTATCAGCCCCCACTCAGTCTATTTGGTTACGATTATCCAGACTGGAGTTTGACAGTCGGATACCTGATTGGAGCTTCATCCTTCATATGGATTCCAGTATACATGGTGTATAAATTGGTATGGACGCCTGGATCTCTTAAACAGGTAGGAATGCCACATTTGAAGGAAAAACATTTTTCTTGTACTATTTTGCATGTAACAGAACATGAATGCAAATGTGTGATGGTTAGAAGGAATTGTGTATTTGAGTTGGTTCATTTGACAAGGTTAAAATAGAATTTCCATGGTCACACGTTTTATAGAAGGACTGTTTCTCATCCATAGTATCTCACACAATACATTGCCTTTTCTTTCACCTGTCACATTTTAAGTGAGAAAAGTGTGCCAATAATTGTGCCCCATTGTTCCACAAGCTCTCACAAATATATGAATACCCAATTACGCCACCAAGATAAATTTGCCTAACTGACTGCTATTCGTGACAAAAGCAATGCAAACCAGGTTTTGTCATTGAGAGAAAAAAACTATTTATTGTAAACATACTTAACTTTAAGAAGTGGCAGAAAAAAGACAGGATTACTAATCTATTACTATGCAACTTAAATTATACCCCTTTAAAATTGCAAACACACACAGTCGGATGTTTTGACATACAATATTATGGAATGAAAAATGTGGACATGGAAAACAAAATTCTGAAGATCCAAAGACCACATAAGTATGGATTAAATTGTCTGTCACAATTTCTTTTGACTTTAGCATGATGGCTCCCTGTTGTCTGTAAAGTGATGGTCATTCTATAATTTGATAGATGATCTGGTGGACCTAGGTCTTTCCTTTATGAGAATTTCTTTTTAAGTTTCTTGATTTATTGACTTTTCACTCACCCCGAGAGAAGGAAGAGAGAGATGTTTTCTGCTTACTGTCTCTGGCTGCTCTGCACTTACAGATCTGTAATAATCTGCAACTCAACCAAGCTGAGGGCTGTTGTCAGGCAGCCTTTCCTTAACTCAAAGATTCCTGTTGCCACTCTTTCTCAAATTATCCCCCTCACTGTTTGAAAAGTATGGCTAAAAATGTGCATTGCTTGATTTTGCCATGATTCAAAACTCTTCTGGTATTTCTGTTACATAGCAGTCCAACTTCCATTCCAGTTTACAGTTCAAAAAGGAAAAACATGTGGTTCATTACAAACTCCTGAATTCAATAGATAGAAAGCAAGGGAGTAGAAACTGTAATGTGGAAATCAATCTTCAGCTTTTTTCAATGTGCTAGTGTAAGATCTAGAAAGTAGAAAGCATAGAAATGGTATGCAGTCACAAGGCAATTATAAAGTGGAAGAAAAAGAATAAAAAGTATAAAGGGGGAAAGTGTTACTTTTAAACTTCAGATTCCAAACACGTATGAATCTTATTGCATTTTTACCAATGTTAGTTCAACATGCACAACAAACAGTTTACAAAAGTTGTCACCTTTATGGAAAAGTATTTTGAATTTGTTATCAACTGTTCAAATATCATATGAAGTGATGACAGAAAGAGTTCTGATATTTGGAGTTGAATTTCGGTGCTCATGAAGGCGAAGGGTGTCAGTTCTGGATTAGAATACAGGGTTGTTATGAAGTAATCAGAGGTCCATGTACAAAGTAAAGCTCCTTTTGCACTGTCTCATAAAAGACTTTTGGTGAAGCTTAATTTGAATTAATTTAGGCAACACTTTCTCGATTTTGTGGCAACAAGATGTTTTAGCTTCATAACATGATCACAAGTCCCTACTGATGTGAGGTTTCGGATAACTCCACTAACTATTCATGTAGTCAGTGTGAATGTGATTTGGTGGTTCAGTTTTTGCTGTGTCTTTCTTCATTAAAAACTAGAGTGGAGGCTACCCAAACTGATTTAATGTGGAATCCTTAAGAGACCAAAGTGCCTTGTGGGACAGGAAAAAGGAAGAGAATGGAGAACAGGGCCTGAGTGTCGGGAAGCAAAAAGCTCAAATATCAGTCGGGAGGAAGAAAAGGGGCTGATTTCAATTGAATATTTTATTGCTCTTGATAGAGAATCCATAAAGTTTAGAAAAATAGGAGAGACCTTGAGCATGCCTTGATGGTTACATTGTAAAGTCACAACATATTGGTACTTTAAAGGTGGCTCAAGCTAAAACGTTATGGCCTACTGGTATTGTCGCTAGACCATTAATCCAGAAACTTAGGTAATGTTCTGGCTGAACAGATGATGGAATTTAAATTCAATTTTAAAAAAATCTGGAATTAAGAATCTACTGTGAAACCATTGCCAATTGTTGGAGAAACCCATCTAGCTCATTAATGTCCTTCCGGGAAGAAAATCTGCCATCCTCACTTGGTCTGGCCTACATGTGACTCTAGACTCACAGAAATGTGCTTGACTCACAGCAGCTGTTGTCTGAAATAGCTTAGCAAGCCACTCAGTTCAAGGGCAGCTAGGGATAGGCAATAAATGGTGGTCAGTCAGCAATGCCCACATCCCACAAGTGAATAAAAGAAATAAAATGTTCCAAAGGCACTCCTTACTGAACCAACAAGGGCAACAAGCAGTTCAGGAAAAGTATTGCTGATCCCAAATGAACAGAGCTTCTGATTGTCAGTGGTGAGTCTGCAAAAGATTAACCAGCTGTCTTGGGTCAAAGAGTGGATACCGTATAGTTGGGGAAGGGGCTGTTTACAGTTTTGGAAACATTTCAGTAAATGTATTTATCATGAATTTACAAAGCATCTTATCTAGAGATTCCAACCTAACAGGATTAATGAGTGTGCTGACAATCTTGGTTTCACTGCTATCTTTCTGAAGAAGAAAATGCTAAAAATTCAACACAAATACAGAAGGTATATTACCACTGCATCATCTAATAAAACAGTTAGTGAGGATGAAAAAGGCAACTCTGAAAATCAAAAGAAGACCCCCAAAAATCAAGAAGTAGCGCCCAAGAATGAATCACAAACAGCTCTCAAGAAAATATTTTGACTGCTGGATTGGAGTTACCCTTGGTTCACTTGGTGCCAACTCCTCCAATTATCCAATTGTATCCAAAATTACTGTTGAACTGAAACTCCATTCATATTAGCAATCATTTTTTCATATTGTGTCATCCAAAGCTCCCTCTGTGAATGCTTTTAAAGATTCTGCACATAAACTTAGAACTTCGTGTTCAGTCATGTAAGAAGCAAGACTTCTTCTCATTTTTATTACGACAGTAATTACTTTTTTTGTCCATACAGCGTCTGGCAGTCTGCATTCGGCCAGAGAAGACAATCAGAGACCAGAAGCCTGATTCATTCTGCATGAATACTATCCCTTAATTCCTTGTACATATTGCATGCAGAAACTTTCTTTGGGATTGACATGGATTTTTAAAAAAACCCACGGAAGAATTTGTGTGAGGTGGGAAATGAAAAAGCAGTTGATACTGCATTTAACATTTCAACTTCAGCAAGAACAGAAATATGAACAGTAATAAGGAATTCTGCAGAAGCTTTGACAAGAAGCTTATTGTTAACATATAGATAAAAAGACCTTTCACTTTGTACCTTTTGTAATTTTGTGGGTGAAAAAAAATTCAAGAAAATTGTTGTTACAAAACATCTAATAATGTTTTACTAACTTATCAGCATCTACCGCTGAAAAATTCTGACTTGCCAACCATGTAGACCAAATGTTTGAGATTTGCATTACTTACAGTCACAAGAACTTGAACTCAAAGAAATGCTTTTACACATTAAACCTTGCTCTTTGTCCTGAATTAGTTCACGGTCCCATATCCTAGTGCAAGACAGCTAGATTGTTCACTTAAATCAATTGTTTGCCCAATCTTAAATTAATCAGTGAGCAATCCCATAATGCCATTTCAGTGTACTTCCAAAATTATACAAGATATGATGCTGTTACTTGGTTTTGTACTTGTTATTAATGAACATTTGAAGATTATGATTTTTAAATTAATATTTTGTAAAATTACAAATGTGTTTGTACTTTTGAAAAGTGCTCCTAGTTAAGCTCACTTATTCCTGATGTGTTCATTTTTAAAAATTGTAACCGTTCCCAAAAAATGAATAAAATGTAAGGTGAATGTTAATGGGTAATTAACTCCTACACTGGTGACACGCATAGCTAACAGCCCTAATACAAAGTATAATTTGAATGCAGGGATTGCTATGGCTTTCTAAAGCATGTTTTACATGAACCTCTGGCGGGCAATGGTTGAAGCACATTCAGGTTACCATATCAACAGGATGACAAATGGGCCAGTGGTTTGGGAATATGGTGGCTACTCCCCGTATGACACACACCTGAGACCCAGGATCACCAATAGATCTAGGCACAAATGAGTGATGGCAAGAGACAGGTTGTGGGCTAGGATTCATGCAGGAGGTTTAGAGATCAAGAGTATGGGTGGATAGCAGGGGACCTGTCCATCCTGAGGTCAAGTTCCTCGATCAGGCACTGCGTACCTTTGAACAAGTGTTGCCCTCCCAAAGCCCACAAACAACCGTGACAGGATTTATTTTTCAGGGTGCCTGCATGGCAAGTACCTTGCCTGCTGCTGGAGGACTACAGCATCAACAGGATGTCCTTAAGAAGAGTCAAATGACTCTAAACTTTAACACTGTTTTCCCTCCACAGATGCTGCCAGACCTGCTGAGTTTCTCTGCAAACTTCTGATTTCTTTCTGTTTAATATCTGCAGGATCTATGGTCCTTTGTTTTATTGCAAAACTATTGATTAGTTTACAGTTTATTTTAGGTGCTTTAAAGCATTTAAAAGAAACATTTTCCTTATTACTTTCACCTAGTAGAGTTGCAATCCTAAAGAAGATACATGAACATGTTTTCAATCAACCTGTTCAGAGATAGTGTGACACACCTCCGGAGCAGGTGAGACAGTAGCAACGTGAACGGTGGCAACAAGGTGTGAATGATGTAATCGCGTTAGCTGCTTACGCGTGGCGCAATCGCGTCCGTTGCTTGGGGATTGCGCGCGCATCAGTCGGGAGCTAGGACCCAGTACCGGCGCAGGATGGGTCCTTTCTTCGCCGGTGTCCTTGCCGCTTTATTCACGCTCATCGTGAGCCAAAACCAACCGTCAACTTCAAGGGACCGGCCCTTCAGTGTCCTGAGGTACCAAAACCTCGGTAAGAATAAAAGGTGGCCCGTACACCATCCGGGTATTCCCCTCCACCCCAACCCCTACTCCCAGGGTAAGACAGAAACACGGCGGCCATAGTGGCTTCTTACCCCCAGAGCGCATCCCGCTCAGCGTCAATGTGTCGGCAAGAAGCAGAACCTTTAAGGGACGGATTAAAGGGGAAGGAAAGCCTTCTGTAGCAGCTGGCTGTGGCTCGGGCGTAGCGCTGGTCTCCAGCATAAAGGTGGTGCTTTCGAGTCCCATGCCTAATCCATAGGCTCGATCTTTCATTGATGCCTTTTGGATGAAATAGTAAAGCGAGGACAAAACCAGGAACTGCTGATGCTGGAAATCTGAAACAAAAGCAGAAATTGCTAGAGGAACTCAGTATGTCTGGCAGCGTCTGTGGAGAGAAAACAGTTAACATTTCGAAATAATTGACCCTTTATCTTACCTGGTCACGGGCTGCTGCTTTAAAGAAAGCAATATTTAACCAATACTGACCAATATTTACCTCAAATAAAATCCCCCTAAAGAAAGTATTATCTGATCATTTTCATTGTGTCTGTGCGATTTAGTAGCTGCATTTATTGCTTTACACCATTGACCATACTGCAAAGGTATGTGAAAGCTGAATTGCACAATCAGTTTGCAGTACCTGATTAGGCCAAATGCATATGGAACTGCAACTCCACAAGATGCACCATCAGGTGAAAGAAAAATTATTTTAAAATGATAGTTATAATTAGCCTACTTGCTAAATTGAGTAAAGTAAGTTTTACGTCGAAGCAAAGTTCTGCAGATGCTGGAGATCTCGTTCACTTTGTTTCCCTCTCCACTGATGCTGCCAGACTGGCTGAGTTTCTCAAGCATTTTCAGTTTTCTTTTGCTGCTGTTCTGACCTTTTCTGCTAATTCTGAATCTTGTATAATACACACTGGCTGGGGGAGTTGGTCAGCTCAGTTGAGTAGTCATGTGGTTTGTGATGCAGAATGACGCCAACAGTGTGGGTTGAATTCCTGCACTTGCTGAGGTAACCACAAAGGACTCTTCTGCTCGACCCTTTCCCCTTGCCTGAGGTGGTGACTCTCGGGTTAAAGTACCACCAGTTGCGCCCCTCTGTCTAATGATGATGTGGAGATGCAGATGTTGGACTGGAGTGGACAAAGTCAGAAGTCGTACAACAGGTTTATTCTTGTATAGGCCTACACCTGTACCTATATTTTATGTTCTTCCACAATTCTTCAATAGGCAGGTTGCAAAAGCCACACTGGAAATTCCTGCCTTATTGAGCAGAAAATTCGAAAAGACCATTTTATTAAAAAAGTGATTAATTTACTACTTCTTGTTTTACATACAGCCCTTACTGTCAGTGTTCTCAGCATTCTACTACTCGTCATGATTTTAATGATGATTTGTGTGTACAAACCCATCCGTCGTCGGTAAAAGATTGTTTCGTCATGGAATGCCTGCTGAATGGATTCTTTTATTTTTAATATCTGGAAGGATAAAATTTGCATTCCTATTGGCAAATCAACTACTTGTGCAGCTCAAGATTTCGGTACCATATGTATTTTGACATCTTTATTTGCTACACTGAGAACACGTGGAACCTTTTTAATGAGCCAGCTGCTCTCTTACACAAGACGTGGTTGATTGTCAATACGTATAAAGCTAGTTACAAATGAATATGGTACTGGTCAAGCAACCTGCAAGAAGTCCTGTGAAATTAAATGTGAAAGAATTGGGTTGTTGGAGAGGAGATATGTACATACTTTTAATGTTTACAAATTAGTCATATGCACTGGGAACTGAGATGTAATGGATATTGTTGCTATAAGAGTTCAGATGTTTTATTTTTGTGTTTACAAATAGGCTACGGTAACCAACTGAATTACATTTATCTGCTTTTGTTTTACGCTATCCCAGCACCTCATGCTTTAATGTCTGGCTATAAGAAGGCTAGCTAGTTGAGCTGCTCCCATTTTGCTCTTGAGGAGGCAGGTGATTGACCTGAGGTGGCTACCTTTTTCCTTTTGCCACCCTGCTGTGTGTAAATGATGTAGTCTGTGCATTTAAGAAAACAGGTCTGGGATTCATTCTGTGTTGAAAGGAGGGCAATAACTGCACTCTTAACATGTGGTCAATGTGCCATCTTCAGTTATTTATTTTCTTTCCACTTTGTAGAAAAGTACTTCTGTTTATGGGTCTGTGGTGAAGTTTTGTTTGAAAATCAGTGAATTACCTGGCAGAATCATGCACCGCATTGATGTACGAAATTATTCTTGCCTAAATATACACTATATAATTTACAACTGGTAGTAATACTCTCATTAACGTAAAGCCCCTTCATCCATTCATCCCATCTCCAAAAAAAATCATGTGTAGAAATAAAGAAAAGGATTGAAACTAAACATTGTTACTGTAAAGTAAATACACACTACATTTGAAGGATCCTTGTCAGGGATGTCACAGCAGAGTCATTGCTGTTAATTTTGTTTTGGTCTGGGATTTGAATTTCTCTTGAGTGTTTCAGGATAATGCAGTCACTTTTTAAAAAAAAAAAAAATAATTTGCAAATATTGATAGCTCCTGATGTAAATGATTGGTAAATTCTATTATGACTGACTACTTAGATAAATAAAGAATTGGATTCAACTTTCAAAAAATTCTAAAGTCAAAAAGCTGCACCTACTGGAAATCTGCAAGGAAAATAGAAAAAACTGAAATACTCAGCAGTTCACAATATCATCCGTGGAGATGCAGAATCCAGTTACTGTTTCAAGTCTTCATTCAGTCTTAATGAATGATATTCAGACCCGAAAAGTCATTAACTTGCTTCTGTTTCTCCAGAGATGCTGTCCAATCTGCTGAGCATTTTAAATCAAAAATGTTTTGTTTAGGTTAATTTTTATATACACATTGAAGTCAAATTGTTGCAGTTGGATAACATCCAAACTATTTTTTTTGAAAGAAATGCTAAATATTAATCTTACACTTTGGTTGACTTTCATCTTGAATAATATACAGTCTTACATGTGATAGTTGAGTTGTCCCTGTTCAAATGTTTAAATTCTTCATCCTTAATTGTAGCCACAGAAATTTTCTTCCTGATTTGCTTAACTCTTTGCACTACAGGATGAAAACCTTGTGAAGTTTTGATACTGTTCCTGTTAATTTATAACAATTATGTCTGAGAAAATGTTACAATTAGAAGCAGATTTTGCAAAGCCAGATATTGAATTGGTTTATTTTCCATCACTACAAAATTATAGATTTTAGGCTTCTGTTGAGGTGATGTGATGTTTTTGGGTTTTTAAAAAAGTTGTCTTTTTATTGTTGCTTGTTTCTGTTCTTTTGATAGTATTCATATTTTCTGATGTACTTTACGTGTCACTGCGTTTTAATGTAATGGTTTTTTGAGACATGTTTCTCCCAGAATGTGGTTTCTTCAAAGCAGTTCAGAGAAGGTTAATTGGCCGATTCTTGGAATGAAGAAGTTGTCTAATGAGGTGAGTTGAGCCTATTCTCATTGGATACGTGAGAGGTGATCATATTAAAGCATAAAAGATTCTGAGGAGGTCTTGACAAGGTAGATGCTAAGAATGTTTCTCCTTGGCGAATTTAGCAAGAGAGAGCACAGTTTCAATACACGGGGTCTTCCATTTAAATTGGAGATGAAGAGGAATTTCTTCAGTAAAGGCCAGGAAATTAATTATATTCAGAGCTGATTTAGGCTGATTTTTGATCCACAGGGAAATCAAGGGTTATGTTGGGGTCCACTGGCAGGAAAGTGGAGTTGACATATCAGATA